GACACACACCTTAGTTCCAGTGGTGACACACACCTGTAGTTGTTCCAATGGTGACACACACCTTAGTTCCAGCACTTGAGTGACATAAAGATGAGAGCACATGCTTGTAATCCCATCCATGAGGCAGGAGCCCTGGGAGTTCAAGGTAAGCCTGGACCTCTCAGCCAGACGCTTTCTCACAAAATAAAAATAAAAGAGCTGGGGTATAGTTCTGTGATGAGTGCTTTATCCAGCATGTGAGTGAAACCCTCAGTCTTCGCTGCAGGCAGGCAGGCAGGCAGGCAAGGAGGAAGGAAGGAAGGAAAGGAGGGAGGGAAGGAGGGAGGGAGGGAGGGAGGGAGGGAGGGAGGGAGGGAAGGAAGGAGGGAGGGAAGGAGGGAGGGAGGGAGGAAGATAGAGAGGAAGGACAGAAGGAAGGAAGGAAGGAAGGAAGGAAGGAAGGAAGGAGGGAAGAAAGGGAGAAAGAAAACACACTCTCACACATACACATACACACACACACTAGCATAGCTCAGATGTTGTTCCTCTTTCCTCTCAAAATGACGTAAGTAGCAAGTAGCAAGCATGGTTATTCATAGTTTCTCTTCTGGCCAGACCATACATCTGTCAGAGTCATCAAGACTTCTTGGATTTCGATGTCCTGGTGAAAGATCCAGGAGGGAATGGAAGCAGGAGGAGGTCGCTTCCGCCCACCTGAGGCCAAGCCTGTGGGAGCCTCTTCTGGCTCTGGACCTTGAGAGAAAGGAACTAGCTCCCATGTTCAGTGGTTTGGGGAAATGGTTGCATCCTGCTTTTGACCTGGGACAGGGAAGAGGAGAAATACGTCTCTTTTGGCTGAGGATGAGCCTGAAGACTTGATCTGCTTGAGGACACCGTGCTGTTCTTTCCGAAAGCCTAGACTAAGGGGGCAACCCATTTTATTTAAGTCCAAAAGGGCCGATGACCTCAACTGACATCTAGTGAGAAATACAGGCATGACTGTATGCACATATGCGTTACCTGTAACATGTTCATTTTGTACATTGTAAAAAAAATAACATAAAGCATGTTCAAAGAGATGTATGAAAATGATTTATGCCTGTAGTCCCAGACACTAAAGACACTGAGCTGTACTGAGAGCGAAGGGCTCTAACAGGCTTGAGTGTGGCAAACATGGTGTCAGCAGGCCTTTCTCTTCCTTGCCAAAAATCATTAGACTATATTTCTAAAGCTCGCACCCAAGGTTCATTCCCATATTTGGCCACTGACTCATTCCTGAGACTAAACACCAAGGGCCAACAATTAAAATTCATTATTTGGTTAACATGTCCAATCAGAATTTACGAACTTCTTCTAGCACAGACTCCCCCTACTTTTCCTTAGAAAACACATTCCTGCAAAAGAATGCTCATTCTTGCTGCTTTTGTGCCCACCTACCCTCCAGGATAATACATTTGTTTTGTGCTGAGAATTTGGTGCTTGCATGTGTCCTGTACAGACTCCACAGGTGCTGCCCTCACTAATAGAGGGTTTCAGGCCAGCCTGGGCAACTTAGCAAAACCCACACTCACACCCTGAGCCGGCTCACCCACCGCCCCTCCCACCGCCCTCTCCCCCCACCCACTCCCCACCTCCTAAAGGAACAGCTCCACTGTTCTGCCTGGACAAGGGCAGAGCCTGCTCTCCCAAGTGCTGCTGCCAGTTGACACGAGGAGGCCTACTCTCCAGAGCGTCTTATCCAGTGAGGGGAGGGACCAGCTATGTATAGCCCCTGGACATCCACATGGTCTCCAGCAGCCGCCCCAACCAGGGACATCCCTATGTTCTCTTGTCATACTAGAGCTATGGACATCAACACTGACCTCTGCCACTGCATAGCCACCAACTCAGACATGGCCCTCAGCAGCAGCTCAGGCTGAGACCTCACCATGACCCAAGTGGTGGGGCTGGCCACTCACAACAGGCTCCTCCTCTCCACACTCGAGTCTCCAGGTCCATTTCTCTTCATAATGCTCAAACTGCTCCACCTCTCTTTCCCTTCTGGCCGTGAACATTGTGGTGGCTCCTGCAGCAGGTTGGCCGTGCAGCTGGTAGGCCCCTGACATCTTCCACCCGTGCTGTGTGGCATGGCAGCAAGCAGTTATCTATGGATGGTCTGTGCTGTGCTCTGGAGGGAAGGTCTGTGGGTGGCATGGTGGTCCATAGGTCTCTGTCTGTCTTCCTCTTCTCTTGCTGTGCTGCCTGGATTTGATTTGATTAGATTTTTATGAGTCCTAGGCATAAGACAGCTTTGTCACCGTGCCAGGCATCAAACTGGGATGAACAAAGGACTGGCATCTGCTTTGCCCCTGACTGATAGATCACCACCACCACCAAGGTGTCTCTTTGCCCATTGCAAGAGGGGCTAATATATTTTTATAATCTCAGCCAAACTGCAATAATTTGCTTGGCTTATTGCTTTGTCTTATTTGGATAATTTGGTTTGTTTAAGTCTTACCTTATGTATGAATTTATATATAAAATATATAAACAGATCAATGGCTTGCTACATGCTGCTGTCACCAATGAGGGCCCGACAGAACAGGTAGCCCAACAAAGCTGAGTGAGCAAAGAGTGTCAACAAAAGGAGAGGCATCAAGGTATAGGCTGGGCATAGGGAAACCAGTTAGAGACAGGAAACAGTGCCTCAGGATGACTACACATACAATAGTTCATTATTTCCATTTGCTACTCTCCTTAGTGCCCGGGTGCCAAATACTTTGTATCCGTATAGTTTCTTCTTGTGGCTTGCCTTTATCTCTGGGAGGCTTGTTTTCTGCTTGATTCCCGGAACATTTTTACATTGTAAACATATCACTGTTGCTCTATTGTCCCAAATTTTTCAGTTGGTGTCTTAGTTAGAGTTTTCTTGCTGTGAAAAAACCTGGCAACAACAGCAGCTCTTATAAAGGAAAACATTGAATTGGGGCTGGCTTACCAGAGGTTTAGACCGTTACCATGGCAGGAAGGGGGTGAGATATAGGCAGACATGGTGCTAGAGAAGCAGCTGAGAGGTCCTCGTCTTGAGCTGCAGGTAGCAGAAGAGACTGTGTCCCATATTGGGCATAGCTTGAGCTCAAAGCCATGCACAGTGACACACTTCCTCCAACAAGGCCACACACATTCCAATAAGGCCATACCTCCTATTAGTGTCATTCCCAGGGGCCAAGCATTCACACACATGAGTCTATGGGGGCCATTCCTATTCAAACCATTACAGTAGGCTTATAATTTTTTCTAGGTAGTTCCTGCTGTTTTGATACACAGGTGCTTAGAATAGTGGTCATATCTATTAATCTTCATCTCTCTTTTAGAAAGATGCTCTGGAGGCTGGAATTCGAAACATCCCCCATAGGCTCACATATTTGAACACTCGGTCTCTAGTTGGTGGTGCTGTTTGAGAGGTTATGAAACTTTAGGGTAAAAGTCTTGTTGCGGCAAGTATCTCACTGAGAACAGACGTTAAGCCTGTGTAGCCTCTCCTCACTTCTAGTTCGAGTTCTGCCTTTTGTGTGCGTTGGAAATGTACTCAGCCAGCTTCCTGACTCCAGCTTCCTGCTCCAGCTGCCTGCCTCCAGCTTCCTGCTCCAGCTGCCTGCCTCCAGCTTCCTGCCTCCAGCTGCCTGCCTCCATGCCTTCACATTGTTATAGTTAGTCTCTGGAATCATAAGCCAAAATAAACTATTTATTGAGTTGCCTTTGGCCATGAAATTTTATCACAGCAACAGAAAAGTAACTGCCACAAATGCCAGTTTGAGGAGGACTATAATGGCACTAGTTATCTACTTTAGAATTGCCTTCTGAACCTTTAAAGTACATCTTCTTAATCAGAGCTAGAGTTGTGAATTTTCTCGGGAATTAATATTTATGCCAAGCCTGAATAAAACTGCATTTGTTTCTTTTTCCTATAAAACACTTGAAAAATTCATTTCAAGAACAAGTAGTCAGCATAAATCATTGCATTCTCTGACCTGAAGTCAGAAAGTGTGACTCTGCCTTTTCCTGACGCTGAGAATTGAAACCAAAGCTCTGCATATGATAAGCAAGCACTGTAGCTTGGAGCTAAATACCCCAAGTACCAGGGTGGTGGTGGTTGTTATTTTATTGACTTTGTTCTGACACTGCTGCCTGGACATAATGTCAGAGCCCACAGGCTAAGTGCTCAGTGCCACAGGACAGCTCAATTTCAGATGCCAGTCACCATCTGGGCCTCTGGTACTTCTGCCAGCTATCTGAGTCAGAGGTCCCATTAAAAAATGAACATTTAGTAGCTTAAGGGACAGCTGTTGCAAGCTCACTCAAGTATTCAAATCTGAGGCTGCACAAGAGCTGGATAAAGATGGTCCATCCAAACATGAAGGCTTGAGCTTGGACCCCCAGCACCCATATAACAAGGTGGACATGGCCATCTACACCTATAGAGCCAGTGCTGGGGTATAGAGACAGGCAGGCCCTCTGTGCTCTCCGGACAGCTAGTCTCCGTTCAGAGAACTTATTTCAAAAATATAAGGCCAAGAGAAGACATCCTCTCTGGCCTTCACATACATGAACACAAATGTACATGTCAGAGAACACACACACACACACACACACACACACACACACAATGGCAGGGCATTTGTGTGTAACCCATGTACATACCCCCATATATATTAAGTCATCTGGATTTAAATCATCTAGATTCTACCCAAGGCAATATAAAAGTAATGTCAATAGTTGCTACATTGTGTCATTAGGAACAATGACAAGAAAAAGAAATCTGTACATGTTCAGTTTGGTCAATTTTTTTTTCTTATTTTTCTTCAGAAGCCAGAGGAGGATGTTGGGTCCCTTGGAACTGGAGTTGGCAGGCAGTTGTGAGCTGCCATTTGGATTCTGGGAATCAAATCCCAGCTCTTTAGAAATGCAGCCAATGCTCTTAACAGCTGAGCCTTTTCTCCAGCCTTGTACCCTTCCCCTCACAGCACTTATAAAAATATATTTTCACTGTGCAGTGGCGGTACACGCCTTTAATCCCAGAACTTGGAAGACAGAGGCATGGGGATCTCTGTGAGTTGAAGGCCAGTCTAGTCAATAGAAGAAGTTCCAGGACAATCAGGGTTACGCAAAGAAACCCTAAGCCTTATGCTTCATTCTAGGTAAGCACTCCACCATCAGACTACATCTCCAACCTCTAAAATGTCTCTGATCTTTGGTTGGTTGAATCCATGATGCAGAAATCATGGATACAGAGGCCCACTCAGTTTTACTGTGCCCTTTAGTGTGAAAAGGCATTTTCAAAGACAAAGTATATAGAATCTCATTGCAGGTCATTATTAAGAAACAGCTAATTTGGGCTGGAGAGATGGCTCAATGGTTGGAGGCATTCACTTCCAGAGGCCTTGGGTTCAAATACTGGCACCCATATGGTATCTCACAACTGTCTGTATCTCCAAAACCTGAGACTATCACATGTACACACGTGCAAGCAAAACACTGATGCACGTAAAATAAACAATTTTTAAAAAGAGATTATTTTTTTAAAATGGCTAACTTGGCATAGATTTTGGTGATGGAAGGCACTAAGTGAGACAATTAGCTATCCTCTACAAGGATTTTATTTCTTTGAAATAAAAAAGTATTTAAAATAGACAAAAAGTATTTTTTAAATTATGCTAATTACATCTTGAATTTTGTCAGCATAGATTTTGTGGGGATGTAGTTATTCTGTCTTATAAACACACAATAAACTCAGCTTTACCTTTAGTTAACGAAGCTCTGATATTTTCTGCCTGGCACTTAACAGAGTGTGGACCTAAAGGCCGTTCAGCAAAGTAGAACTGTGATGTAATCGCTTATGGTTAGAACACCACACTTGATACAGATATCTAGCATGGGCCATGATGGCTGACACTGGGCATGCAGGGTAGCCTATTAGTCAACACAAAATGGCCGACAGTGATTGTCCAGGACATACAAATGTAAGCAGTGGTATGGTCTGTTCTATGACTATTTGGTCATAATGTTACCTTTGTGTGGGTTTTGTATAGATATGGCCTTGAGGATGGATGTCACCTAGAATTTCAGCTAAAATGTTCACGTTCCCCACCTTAGCTTCTGTCAGGCTGCCTTAGCATAGCAGTCAGGCGCACCACATAGGACCAGTGGGTTTTATTGGGTATGCAAGATTTTATTTTATGTGTATGAATATTTTCCTGCATGTGTACGTACACTATGCTTGGTACCCCAAAAGGTCAGAATATGGCGTTTGATCTGCTGGAACTGGAGCTAAGGCTAACCGTCATATGGGAGTGGACAACCAAACCCTGATCCTCTGTAAGGACAACAAGTACTCTTAACCAGTGAGCCATCTCTCCAGCCTCATTTTTTTTTTTAATTTCTGTGTTGTATTTGATATGAAGGGACTGCAGGTACACAGACCCGGATTCTTTTTTAAAAAGAGTGAAACTGTGTTGTTCCAATTTGATCATGTTACAGGAAAGGCATAGAAGTATAAAGTACATGCTCAATAAATTCTTGCCAATTGAGCAAATGAGTCTTGGTCGCCCTCATGCACGAGTTTGTGCTGTGATAACCACCACTGTGCTGAAGTCTCCCTCGGAGCTTCTGAGTGTGCACGGGTGTGTTTGAGTCTCAGAAACAATACAGTTTCAGGACTCAGATTCTTTGATTTTGAATCTCAGCTCTACCAAGTACTAGCTATGCAGTTTCAGGGAAACTGTGTAACTTTTCTATACCTTGAGGGTCATAGTAGCATTCATTTTGTAGGTATGCCTGTAAGTTATATAAGTTTTTAGGCCCGATGTAAGTTGTTTAACATACAATTGAACCCCATCACCTGTCATCTCTGTTCCCTGTATGGTGGGGGGTTGGTTTGTTTTGTTTCTTAATTCACTGACCCAACACACTCCACAGTCCTTAAACCACAATAAATTCTAGCGGCGAGCCGAAAGCTGGCACACGCCTGTAGTCACAGACAGCTCCCACGTGTGAGCCATGATTCAAACAAAACGAATCCCCAAACTAATGGTCAGTGGCCAAGGCATGTAAATACATTTACCTTCTTTTGCTGGCCAACCCTCCCCTGTGGACAGCTGAAAGGAAGAGACTATGGAACTTGAAAGGGCTGTATGCCCACCCCCACCTTCCTCCCCTGATGCATGAGCTCAGAGCTGCCACCAGGCAGCCTTCCTTTAGAGGCCTTGGCCTTTGGGATCTGTCATCTGCTCTCTGTATGTAACCTGACACACACGCCTGAACCTAAGGTCACACCATGTTACCCCATACACACACCCAAGACTCTGCTAAAGTGGTCATCTTGTGAAAGAGCCCTCTTGTTTCTTGACCCAACATGCACACAATGC